AAAAATACAACTCCCCCCCAATATCCCATCCTGTATGAGCGCCAAAAAATATAATTCCTTGATACCTCGTTCCATATGAGTCAATGTTCACGGTAGGGTTCCTTATGTACGTGATCTGTCTACCATCTCTTAGGATATCTATTAAGGCTTTCATTCATAATTCACATAATCAAACAATTCTCTGTTTGCATATTAATTTCTAATTTCACAAATCAATCGTAAATTACGCAAAACAAACAACATATATATCAAGGAAGCACAACTAAATCATTCAACCATTCCAGTGTATCATTATATATTTAAAGCTGTAAATTTAACAATTAGTTACACAGGATAACAAATAAATGACTAACCGATTTTGGCTTCATTAGTAACATATAATTATTCTCAAAGTTTTTTAATTTACACAAAATATCATATTATCGATTATTAAGCTTCAATTCCATAACAGAGAATAAGGTAATAGATTCTTACTCGAATTGGACCGAAATATCGAATTTTCTGCTGCGCCTACTGGCGGTCCTCGGGTTTCCTGAGGTGATGAATTCCATAAAACACGCTTTATGTACTTAAAAATACCTCAAAAAATTTAAAATCGATGTTAAAAACTTTTTTCTACCAATTTTGAAATTCCAGTACGGCAACACCGCCGCTTACAACGGCAGTTTGTCTCGACCTGGCCGTTTTTGGCCAGTTTTGACTGATTTCGGCTAGTTTTATACCATTCCTTGTGAGAAAACACGTTAAGGAACCTCGGTTGGTCGAAAAAAGTCAAAAAATAAAAACTTACCGGCGGTAGAATTTTCTGGTGCGGCTTGCTAACTCACCTTCGTGGCTGGGCATGGTTCTTTAGTCAACTTATAGAACAGAATGGTGAACAGAATGATTGAAAATTACACGAAACAGGAAACAAGAAGGGGCTCATCGGAGGAGGCCCCCAATTTTGCCCGCGACAACACCGTCAAGCTTTATCTGCAGTTTCCGACTCATTTATCATTCCTTTTACTCTGACTTGGCCATGGGGGTGCTCAAAATTAAATTCCAAGCAGATGAGAGAATTTTTACCTTTTTTGGCGGTCAGAGGTAGCTCCAGCGTAGCGACGGGCGACAGTCGACTTTCTTCTCTGGCGACTGATTCTTCTTCTCCGACAGGAGGCTAGCAGAGAATTTAGATTCGGTGTGATGCGAGATATTTATACCCATCTCGCGTTAATTTGGGATGTTCATCGCGTTTGATCTCGACCATCCGATCGTGTTTAAAAAAAAAATAAATCTGAACCGTTCATTGCGATTTGATTTCGATCATACGATCGCGTTTAAAGAGGGAACGAATCTGAACTCTTCATTACGTTTAATCGTGACCGTCCGATCACGCCTGATGAGGGAACGGATCTAAACCGTCCATGTGCGCGAGAATGCTTTCGGGCCGTCTAATCGCGGGGCACGTAGATCGACAGTGTGGCCTCCCGCGTGGCACTAAGTAAACGTGTCTTGCCATACGACGTACTCCAGTTCGTCGAGACTGCTGATTGAGTAGTTTTACGTGACAAATTTTTTTTTAATTACGTTTTAACCCATAATTTTTTATTTTTCTTTCAAAAACACCATCCGAACTCAAGTTTTCACCATTTTTTCTCAAAATTATTTTTAATTTTATTTTTAACCCTTTTTTTTTCATAATTTCACATAAAATAAAAATTTATTAATTTTAAAATTACAATTTTATACATTTTTAAATTTTACAATTAATCTCGATCTAAATTCCATATCCAAATATTATATAAATCCAAAGCATGAAAATATGTTTTTCTAGAATACCCCTTTGGGATAAAGGCTTGCAAGTTTGTTGACATGAAAACCAACAAATTGGTTACAAAAAGTTATTAACACCAAAAATTAAAAAAAAAAAAAAAAGAATGTTATCTATATATATTTTTTTGAGTTGATGATACGTAAATTTATTAATTAAATATTATAGAAACATTAATTATAATATTACATAAATAACTTTCAAATTTAGACATATATAAAAATATAATACGATTTAAATATTAAAAAAAAATTTGTTTATAGAGGAAATGAATATAAAAATAATTAAATTAAGTAGTAATTAATAAATTTATTGTTATTGTGAATTACAATAAATATATGTTAAAAAATAAATTTTGAGAGAGGTATTTTGATTAAAATAAAGAAAAATACTGAAATTATGGTAGTTGGGAGTAAGTAATTGAATATTTGTTATTTGAAATTTAGATTAGTGTGTTTCTCGAAAAGAAAAAAGAAATTGAAAATGGTGTGGTTGGATTCTGCCATGTCGGGTACATTCGATGAGTTTCTAGGCTAATCCCTGGTGGGGCCCCACCTTTTTTATATAAATATTATTTTAATTTCTACACCGCCGTTCATGTGCTGCCACGTTTCCCCTGTAGAAAACTTTAATCACAAAGAAATATATGAGTTTAATTGTGGGGTACTGTCACAAAATCTTCTGTCACAGCTCTTGGATGCTTATTACTGTGATCAAGAACATTGAACCAAACCCCCTTAAATATCTTTCATAAAAAAATATTTAACATTAATTATAAGATTAAGAACCTAAGAGTCCCACTTTACCAATTTTAAATTACTTAACAAGTGAGAGCAACTAATGCCACGTGCATGGCTTTCCTTTCTCATATTTTCAATTAATTTCAGGGGGCCTTTTTCTAATTGGTTCTTTCTTTCACTTTTTGCATTATTTTGTTGGCAACCTTTTTTTTTTTTTTTTTAAAGAAAATTTTAATGTATTACTACATAAGCATAATTTATATTGATATTAAAAAATAATAAATACCTAGAAGCTGGGAAATTAAAATAAACAAAGCAATCTAATTGGTTCGCGTCAGGTCTCAAAACTTGACTGGCTATTGGTCTGTCATCAATCAAAAGAGGACACGTTAGCGAATCCAACCTACCGACATCAGGGAAAAGAGACAAGAAGCAATACGCACTCATATCTTCATCAGCAATTTCTCAAGCATGGGTAACTGTCACATAAAAAGACCATGATCCAATAAAGAGCTATATATATATATATATGTAAATACTATTGGGTGTAATTTTGTACTGTAAAATTTATGCAATACTGTTGTTTTTTTAAGGGACACGTGGCTTTCCCAAAGGAGAAAGATATTAGGAGAGAGAAAAATATCTTTGGCATCGTCTGCTCTCATGTTCCACCTAAGAGGGAAAGAATATATAAAGAAAAAACAAAATCAAATGGAAAAAATAATACTCCATTTCATCGATTATATTTAATCATACTCATCACTTCACATCTACCACTCTCCTTTTACCACTCCATTGTTGCAGCTCTCCTATTTCTCTCTCATAAACCCCCTTTTCCTGTAGAGATTTTTAAGCCGTAACTAAATCGTGTATTCAAAATGTTGTCTTGAGATTGTTCATCAACTGGGTTAATTTCTTCCTTCTATAAGCAAATCATTTACAGAAAAAGAAACCCACCCAGATCAGATTTTTCCTCATGAATCGTCAGAGTAGATTGAAGCAGGAGTATTCAGCTGCCATGGATGCTCCGCAGCCAATGGCGGGTCTTCACGATATAGGTCCCCCGCCTTTTCTAACAAAAACTTATGATATTGTTGATGATTTAAGCACCAATAACATCATTTCTTGGAGCAGAGGCAATAACAGCTTCGTTGTGTGGGATCCCCAGACGTTTGCCATGAGTCTCCTCCCAAAATATTTCAAGCACAACAATTTCTCCAGCTTTGTAAGGCAGCTCAATACCTATGTAAGTCCTTTCTGGAATTTAGTTTACATATTAGTTATGGTTCTCTTTTGTTTGATTAATTTCCACTTCTTATTTTCATATTGATTTTCAGACCTTTTCTCAGTAGCTATGACTAGTTATATACCTAGCTGCTAAACTGAACAAGTTTTCTTGTTATGCATTTGCTTTTGTAAAGATGTGAAAATTATATCCATCAGGAAAGATCTGTTGATTGTAATTAATCAGCTCTATCGGTTCCATTTGGTTCATATTACCATTTCCCACTTAGGGAAATTACATAACTAGAATATTTACATCTAATCATTTTCTTTTGTCTCGTCTCTCTCTCCAAAATAAAAGCTTCAATCAATTGCCGCCCTCTTTTTCCTATTGATTTGTTTATTATGCCCCTCACTGTAAAGCTTTTGTTTGTTAGTGGTTTAAACAAGGAAAAAATGCAGATATATATATATATATATATATATATATATATATCAGCATCAAGCCACATCAACACACACACACACACATATATATATATATATCAGATGTACGTATATTATTAGGCTTTGCTTCGTCTAGCATCTTCAATGCAGTGCTAATGGAAGCCCACTTGTTAACTGTGATTTGCCTTTTTGATCTTGTGTATCTCCTAAATTAATTAGTGTTCTTAGCACTTGAAACATATGATACTCAGTTCAATAATATATACATAAATATATTATGCGCCTAGTTTGAGTTGAAGCTATAAATGATGAAGAAAGGAGTTGATTTATAAATGTAGGGGTTTAGAAAAGTTGATCCAGATAGATGGGAATTTGCTAGTGAAGGTTTTCTGAGGGGACAGAAGCATCTTCTAAAGACTATTAGGAGGAGAAAGACAAGTCAAATGCAGGGTTCACAACAAGCTTTAGACCCTTGTGTTGAAGTTGGAAGGTTTGGTTTAGACGGAGAAGTTGACAGATTAAGGCGTGACAAACAGGCTTTAATGGTGGAATTGGTGAAACTTCGACAACAGCAGCAGACTACTAAAGCTTGCCTTCAAGACATGGAAGAAAGACTTGTAAAGACGGAGACGAAGCAGCAACAGATGATGAGTTTCTTGGCAAGAGCAATGAAGAATCCTAGTTTTGTGCAGCAATTACTAGAGCAAAAAGAGAGAACAAGACAACTTGAAGATGCAATCAGAAAAAAGAGAAGGAGACCAATTGATCAAGGACCCGATAATGTTATAATTGGTGAATTAGGCCAAGGTGGAAGTGAGCTGGAAAATTTTGTTAAGTTAGAACCTAAAGAATATGGTGATATGTCTGAATTGGAAGTCGTCTCTGAGCTAGACATGCTTGCTATGGACATGCAGGGATTAGATGAAACTCAAAATAATCCACAGCAACAACTTATGGAAAATACTTGTGAGGAATTAGATGGAAAAAGAAGTAAAGACAAGGACCAAGGTTTCTGGGAAGACTTACTGGACGAGAGTATGGAAGAAGAAATGGGGTTGCTTGGTGTTGAAGAAGAAAATGTAGACGCATTGGTTGAACATCTGGGCTATTTGGGTTCAAGTCCAGATTATAGAAGCTAATTAATTGAACATGTTACAATTTCTACTTGTTTGTTTAAATGAGATGAATGGGAGACTTTCCATCTTGTAATATAACTCTCTAATTAATTTCTTGTTTCTCTTACTGATCATAAGAGTCTTTTCTTGATGCCAAAAACCTAGGAAATTTTAGGTGGGTGTTCTTGGTATATTTGGCTTAAGAGAGCGACCAATATCGATCATTAAATAGGCTCACCAGAGAATGAACTCTTGTATAAGAGAGCAAGATTAATGTACTTGCACACTCACACTTTCTTAGCTGTTTGTCATGTTCAAGAATGAAGTATACATATATACATATATATATATATATATATATCCCACTTTATCTTCCAGCCGTTTTTTATCAAGAACTCGCCATTTGCATCTGTTGCTGCAGTATATATCCTTTGTTCATCTTATTTAAACTATATATATAGGCCAGAAGTGGTTGGAATTAGATTATGTTTATGCTCAAAAGTAGTGCAAGGCTTCATAGATCTCCTCACGACATTGATATTCTTCTTAACTGAAAATCCAATTTCACATGATATTTAATAAAATATAGTTGTCTGCTTGATCAGCAGCAAATGAAGTATATCTCAAGTTTCAAAACCAGATTGCAGATGGCAAATGGAGTGATTCATGTTTTGTTGTAATCATCATGCTGC